TGTAGAATATTTTCAAATTGGTTTCAGATCGATAAAGGCGTATCTTGCATTTCCGATTCTGGCCGGCTTTAATATGCCATGTCGCTGTAGTTGAAACGATGCTTCCTAGATAAGTGTGAGAGGAAACCACTGTTAAACCTATCCCGTTGACGGTCAAAGGTGCTGGTTGTTGTGTGTGGTTGGTTGGTTCTCTTCATCACCTCTGTCTTCTCTATATTCACCTGCAGTGCCGTCTTCATTGCACTGCTTCTTCAACTTGTTTGTTGGTTTTCGTCAGTAAGTCTTCGAGTTTGCGTGACATTAGGCATATATCATCCACACACGAAATCCAGATCTTCTCCAGTTTTCTTATCGGTGGTCAAGCGTACTTTTGTCTCTTCGCTTCCATAGCACAGCCTGATGCATAATCAAGTCAATCACAATTAGGAATATCATCGGTGATAACAGGCTGGCAGTCGTGTCTTACTCGTTTATGCACGTTGGACGCCTCTCTGAGTTTTCCGTTGTGCATCACCTAACATGTGGCAGGCATTGTCATCATGCATCAATAACACATACTCATTATGTCATGTTCTCTGCACTCTTATTTGGCTGGCTTCATGACTGACCATAAGCTCTCATCTATTTCTCACAAGATCTTCTACATATTATCCATGTACCAGCTCCCAACTCGTCATTTCCAATTCGATTTCCATTGGAGAGTCTGACGTGTGATGTCACTCGGCGGTCTCCTCAATGTACGTCCTATCCATCTCCATTTCCTTCGGTATATTTTTTGAAAATAGGCTCTTGGTTGGCTCATTGTGAAAGTTTCTTGTTGCTGATCATTTCTGATCATTTGATCACCAGTATGGATACGAAGCAAATGTTGATGAAGGCCTGCAGTCTCTTGAAAGCGTTTTCGATAACGCGCTAGGTTTCCAGCACATACAGAAGCAGTGACTTAACACAGGTGTTTAAAATCCGAATTATTTTATTGATGTTCAATGTGGAAGATTTCCAGAGCAATTTCATCCGATTCTGGTTTTGGAATTCTCATCCATTTCGCCTGTAGTTTAGAGATGCTGCCCTGAATAAGTGAAATAATTGTTCTCTTTTTCAGGTTCACATCTCGTTGAATGACAATTATCAGTGTATATTTTATGACATAATAGCATTGGTTTGGGGTCACTGAAACAAGGGTGGCACTAAACAGTGGCTTTCTGGTACTGTAGGATGCTTTACCAATGCCCACCTATGACCCCCTACCACTACCACGACTTAGGAATCTAATACCAGCATATTTATGCTGCGAAGTGAATACCTATCAGCGACAAAATCGCTAACGAAAGACTTATGCTTAATTTTATTTTATAATGACATAAAGTTTCACGGGTTGATCACGGATTGATATCAGTTAGAGAACCATTGAAAACCAGGGAGTACTGGACAGCTGCTGTTTCATCCTAGTTTGGGAATCATCGGCAGTACGCACCCACTGGAATTCGAACCCGGGACCTTCCGGTTACACGGCATGCTCGCTAGTGACTTGCTACAGGTTGGAGTTTCCTGAGTTCTAGTGAGAAGTCGTGACCAGTGAGGTCTAATTAGATGTCACGTGTGTGGATGGATGTCCCACCAACGACAATGGTTGGGGTCGCGCTAATCACGAATTAGTAGAAGTTAAAATTCACGAGCCATTGAATCGGGTTCCAGTGGCTGAATGGTATACGAGCTTGCCTTGTAACCGGAAGGTCCCGGGTTTGAATCCAGTGGGTGCGTACTGCCGATGATTCCCAAACTAGGATGAAACAGCAGCTGTCCAGTACCTGGTTTTCAATGGTTCTAACTGATATCAATCCGTGATCAACCGTAAAACATAACTAATCCTTACAAACCAAACTATAGAAACATAAAGTTTCGTAAATTTATTGTAATGATAACAATACGAGTTTTGCCACGGATTGATATCAGTTATATAGTCATTGAATACCAAGGAGTGCTGGGCAGCTGTTTTCAATGCTTATCTATCTGGTATCAATCCGTGGTCAAACTCATATAAACAAATTTAACCCTTATGAACCAAACTCTTGAAAATAATAATCATAATAATGGCAATAAAGTTTAAGTGTAAAATTAAAATTATAAATTTGCAGAAATAATCACAGTGAAATATAACTATGCGAGGAATAGGAAGAGCCGTTTATTTACTATCTCACAGAAAGTTGATAGTTTTATGCCTAACGCATTTTACATCTCATCAAATCTGGGCTAAGTTAGATATTTTTGAATAAGGCAGTAAGGAGACAAATTTCACAATATGATATCGTTTCGTAGTTTCTTTACAACCGCTTTATAACTAACACGGTTAACAATATTAAAACAATTAGTCCCTTTGATAAATTCGAATAAGGCATTAAGAAGACAAATTTCGTGAAAATCCTAACGCGATTAATCTGAATAGAAATCCAGCATCATCCATTGCAAAGCACTTATTAATGTCAGGTAACAAAATCAATATTAATGACTGTTTCACAATTATTTCACATAACTCTAATTCAAGGTCGGTTATTCAAGGTGATGGAAGTACACACATGGATTAATCATCACATACAGCCTAAACTGTGTGTACAAAAAAACAATAGACTTCAATCTTCGCCTACCATGGACAACATGACCTATCTAAATATGATTGGTCATCAGCCTGTACTTTTGTTTTTTATTTAACTGAGTAATTCTTTAAATATTCCCATTTATAATGTTAGAACAAGACAGATAAGCGAACAATATTGTTTTCAATTAGATCTTCTTCAGGCTTTACTCTAATTAACATGGACTTAAATATCTAAAATTTTAACCAATGACGGTGATTTCGTGGATCAAATAATAATAATCATAATAATAATATGGTAAAGGTTTTGAAGGAAGTTACTAACGATGATTATAATGATAACAAAATATTGATAAAAAGGCTTATATAGGTGATAAGAATAACAAAGTTAGCATATGTAGACAATTCAATAAATAAATAAATTAGGTCAAATCAGATGGAACGATAATCAGAGTTTAAGTGAATATCATAAAACATTTGTAAAAAATTATATTTGTAAAATCTCAGCGATATTGAAATGAGTAATTCCAACGTTTCGTTCGTCAATCTGGTCCGAACTTCTTCAGGGAAATTAATCGAAATTAACATAACAGGTTTCTATTTAAAAGGAACATCTTTAGTTTTTAAAAACTTTGTCCAATCATGATTTATAAAACAAATATTAACAAGTATAATAAACAAAATTGTACGAGTTGTGATCAAAATTTGACCTCAGACTTACAAATATTGATCTACCTTTGTTAAACACTTTAAACACAGTGTGTGTGTGTGTGTGTGTGAGGATAAACAGTTGTAAAACAATGTCTTAACGTTAAGAAAATCAAAACAACACGCTGGGATTAATTTAAATAATTTAAAGTGAATCAATCTGACTCGGGGCTCAAATTATTCCAGGAAATTCGTAACACCTACGGTCTGGAAACCTATAATGTCTTAACGTCTCCATAAGTAGATATAGACAGTCGGGAAACTTTGACCAAGTATTATTAGTTAGTGATACATATCCATTCTTATTTATTAATCAGGATTTCCTATGCGTCATCTAACATCACACCTTCATGTCTGTTCAAACTGTTAGTATCTAGAATTTTATGATTAGACGTATTTTCAAAATTATGGTGTTTAGGATTAGAGTTTACTTGAAGCACCTTTTCGAACTTATTACTTTGTCTTCTTTCTGGAGATTGAGCTGCTTTATTCGACCTACTGGAGTTGTCAGGTGACTGGACAGCTACGAATTTAGGATACGCATTCTGCTGCAGACAACGGAGAGTGGAAACACGATGATTGTGCCAATTACCTAGTTTCTTTGTTAATTTAATTCGATTACAAAATAAATCAGATGAACTGTAGTCAAGATTTGACAGAATAGTTCTATAATATTTGGGCGCCGAGTGAGAAGTAGACATTTGTAAAAAATTATATTTGTAAAATCTCAGCGATACTGAAATGAGTAATATCATAAAAGTACGAAGGAGAGGGATGATAAGAAAGGGTGGGAGGGTTTTGAATAGAATTCACCTAGGCCAAGGGAGAGACAAAGGTAGAACAAATTTCTTTTGTATACAAAGACTAGGATTGTTCTCTCGAATTCCCATAGCTTCGGCTAAGTGTAAAAGACGGGTTCTGATTCCGTTCGAAAGACTTGATGGAATGCGGTAAATAACTTTGAAAGCACTATTTTTGTCCACTTGGTGACCACTATCAATCAAATGAGCCAAAATAGAACTTCGTATGGACTTTATTTGACCTTTTCCGAACCATGAAGGAAGATGCTCATTAATGCGTTTGTTAAGCTGTTTAGTTGTTCGGCCTATATAGCTTTCTCCACAGGAGCAACTAAATTTATAGATACACATGGAAGTGGCACAACTAGGTAACTTATCTTTCACTTGAGCAATCAAAATTGGTCGGCTGGAAAATGACAAACAGAGGGTGGCGGCAGTATAAGTCCGTTTTATCGCTCTCGATAATCTCTGATGTAAGACTTCACTAGCCACGTCCCCATTAAATTGCAGTTTGATGAACAGTTGTTTCTTTTTAACTGTTATCGGTTTTTCTTTATTGTACTTGGCATTCATGTGTCTCCTGACAAATCTACTAGGATAACCCATTTGGACTAACGTATTTTGGATGTATCCTAGCTCATTCTCTAGAGAGTCATCTGTACAGATGCGTCTTGCTCTATTCGTCAGGCATCTGACCAAATTGATTTTGTATCGGATTGAGGAAATGTGTATATTGTCCTACAGATGTAGGTTTTCTATAGACATCTCTCTTTAGTGAACCATCCTCTCTTCTGCTCAATTGGACGTCAAGAAAATGTAGTCCACCATCATATTCTTCTTCACAAGTGAAGATAAGCGATGGATGTGCATCGTTAAACTTTTTTAACATTTCATTCTTGTCAGCTTTCACATCAAGAATAATAAAGGTATCATCAACATAACGAAAATAAGAATCAGCTTTTTCTATTACTTTTTTCAATGGACCATTTTCAATCTTGGCAAGAAAGAAATCTGCTAAAATTGGCCCCAACGGAGAACCCATGGCAATACCGTCGATTTGCCTGTAGTAAAGGTTGTTAAATATGAAATGTACATTCATAGTACATCTTAAAAGCAACTCTTTCAGACTACTAACCGGTATTCCGATGTCGATCTGTTTTTCTAGTATCTGTTGGCATATGAATTCCACAGTCTCCATAAGTGGTACATTGGTAAACAGTGATGCTACATCGAGGGAAAGCATTTGCTTCCCATTTACATTAATATCATCCACGTTAGCAATAAATTCAAAAACGTCTTTAACACTATGACTTACTACCATCTTGTGTAACGGTTGGAGGAGTTCACCTAGCCACTTTGCCACTCCATGGTAGGTAGAGTTTGACATATCCAGGACTGGGCGAAGAGGAAGTCCTGGTTTATGTATTTTGGGCAGACCGTACAGACGTGAAGTATTACTTCCAGTAGGTTTAAGACGGTTATAGGATTCCTCTGAGATTACTCCACTTTTTCTCAGTTCCTTAAGCGTGTTGGTTAACTGCTTTTCAGCCTTTCCGTCCAGATCTATTGGGTTGATAAGGTTTTGGAACTTCGTTTCATCCTTTAGAAGCGAATTCATTTTGTCCAACATAATCACACTTATTCATCAATACTACTCCGTCTCCTTTATCAGGTCTACTGATTATAATGCTTTCATCGTTCCTTAACTTTCTTAGGGCTTCTCGATGCTGTTTAGTCAGTAAACTCTTACTAGAATGACTATTGTTTTTATACTGTTGATAGCTGTCGACTGGTGATTATTATTATTATGATTATTATTATTTGATCCACAAAATCACCGTCATTGGTTAAAATTTTATATATATAAGTCTATGTAAACTGAGTAATTGTCGTGATCTTTATTTTATTACTGTTAACCATGTTAGTTGTAAAGCGGTTCTAGAGAAACTACGGTTAACAATAATAAAATAAAGATCATGACAATTACTCAGTTAAATAAAAAACAAAAGTACAGGCTGATGACCAATCATATTTAGATAGGTCATGTTGTCCATGGTAGGCGAAGATTGAAGTCTATTGTTTTTTTGTACACACAGTTTAGGCTGTATGTGATGATTAATCCATGTGTGTGCTTCCATCACCTTGAATAACCGACCTTGAATTAGAGTTATGTGAAATAACTGTGAAACAGTCATTAATATTGATTTTGTTACCTGACATTAATAAGTGCTTTGCAATGGATGATGCTGGATTTCTATTCAGATTAATCGCATTGGGATTTTCTATATGATTTAGTAGCCATTTTGGAACATGTTCTTTTCTACGACATTAGAACATTCTGTTGGTTGTACCTATACAATTGTCACCGAAGCTGCAGGTGAACTTGTAGATACAGTATGAAGTACAGTCCATAGAATTTCGTCCTTTAATCGTAAGTACAGGGATCGAAAATATTCGGCAAGTGAGAAAAAGAGATGCGGCGTAGAATGTGCGTTTGACCGAAGTCTTTTAGCTGTCAATTGCATAATCTGATCGCCCTTGAATGGTAACTTAATAAAGGTAGCTTTCTTTGGTACAGAAGCTGTCTTTTCGAGATGTGGTTTTTCTTTACTGTGACAAGTGATAAAGTTCTCCGGATAACCATTAGCTAATAAAACTGAATGTATATGCCAAAACTCATCGATCAATGTGTCACTCGTGCATATTTTTCGGGCCCTTCAGAACAACCATTTCACTAGGGAACGTTTTTACACATAATCGTCTGAGCAAGGAGTCTTCCGTAACTGATTATGCTTTCTTACCTGAGGAAAGACAAGGGGAGTTTTGTGAATAAAGAGTGCACTCAAAGTCCGACAACATTATTATTGCTAATTTCTTGCATGATATCAAACGTCTGTCAACAATTGCGTCGAAAAGTTGACTTAGATAACCCTTTAGCCCATAAACAGCTTTAAATGTCATTCACAATGTAATGAAATCTTTCTTAGTAAGCCAGGAATGAATAAGGTGGAGCAATAAAGAAGGATAGGCTGAGGGAATAGCTAACAAATCGCAAAAGTGGAGACTGAGTGACACCAGCTGATCTTAACTTTCCTACCTGGAATGTTAGACGAATTATCTCACTTAATCTGATGACCTGCTTAAAACTTGGACTACAAAACCTTCCATCTCTCTATTACAGATATTTTCTCTCGTCCCTTTGTTTTAATCGATTAAGACATGACCTCTAGTTGTATTAACTACTCGTGTGTTTGTCTAAAATGTTAACAAGCTTATGTGATTCACAATTTCCTACTAAACTTGAAGAAAGGCCTGATTGTGGGTGGCAACGTCTTCATATATATGCGATGACTGTTCTTCGGTTAAGTCCTTGAGTCTCAAAATGTACTTATGAATATCTTACAATTTGCTTTCAACTAGATATCGTGGATTTTTTGAAGAAAGGAGACAAAGCAGATATATCAAAATGGAATGGTTTGTGCTTCAGCGATCGGAGACTATTGACACAGGATATACTCTCATTTAATATTTTACTTGAAGATATTGTACAAGCCGTGGGGAGGATATCATGCTATAAACTCCTATGAAAATTTGTAAGTACCGTTCAGAATAAAGATGTTATCATTATTATTCTAAAAATCAACAGGATGTGGAAAGACCAGAAAAGACAACAGGAAAAACAACTTCAGTGGCCTCTATTATTACTATTATTGTTTCCTTGGATTCCTAGTGGAACATAGGGCTTCAACTGCACTTATACACTTGCTTCTGTCTTCCTTCTGCTGTACTTTTCACCTCCATCCATCTTAGTCCATACTCTTTCAACTCCTCTTCACACATCTCCCCCATGTCACCCTTGCACTGACGTCCGACTCGCCGCTTCCCTTTCGGCCTAGTTCCACTCGAGCAATGGCCTGAGGCGCACGCGACGTCACCCAGCCGTCTCCTCAGACACGATTGTAATCCATCTCCACTTTCTCCTGCATATTTGTAGGGCGGCGATTGACACTTGTTTTGTTTGTTCGTTCCCAGTCAGAGTTTCTTGTTGGTGATTCTTTCCGGCCCGGCCGGCCATCTGATCTTCAGTATAGATCCAGCGAAGACAATTGTGTGATAAAGGTCTGCAATAGGCTGTTAGAAAAATTCTTTGTGACGCACCCGCCAAGTTTCTCATCCGTATAGACGAACTGACCGACTTGACGTTTGTATTGAAAATGCGACTGAATTTCGTTGTTTTATTTTTTTATTTTATTTTTTTTGGTAACAGCTTGATTCCACACTGTATTTTTGGTACAAGTATGGAATTTTCAGCGTGGATATCGGTAGCCCAAATTTCGCAGGCCGACCATAGATGTCTGGTGTGCGCCGGTGTGGGCTCGACCATTTGCATGGTCGTCGAGAGTCCTAACCACTGTGCCACCGACGCTGATGCTGAGTGACGAAGATTGGTTTTCCAGATTGGTTTTAGGTTGATGAATGAATGTGTTTCTCGCTCGCCTTCCCGATTCTCGCTCGATTTGACATCCTCGTCCGTTCCGACTTCCTGTAGTTAAGACAATTCTTCCTAGAAAATTGAAGTGAATGAAGTAACCTCTTTCAAATCCCTCCCGTTGATGGTGATTGGCGCTTGATTTTGTAGCTGTTGTTGTTGTTGTTGGTTGGTTGGTTATTTTCATAACCTCCGTGTTGTTTATTTTCACCTGGAGTCCTGTCTTCGCCGGCTGCTTCTTCGATCAGTTTGTCTGTCGATTTTCGCTGGTAAGTCTTCGATTTTGTGTGACATCAATCATAAATCATCCACGCGCGAAATTCAGTTCTTCTAGGTTCTTCACGTTAGTCCAGGATATCCCTGTCTTCTCTCTCCCACTGTCTGAAGCATAATCCAGTCCACCACAAATAGGAATATCATTCATTGGTGATAATAAGCAGTCTTGTCTGACTCCTGTGTTTACTCTAAACGCCTCGCTGAGTTTTCAGTGGCCTTTACGATACACAAATTATGAAAACGAATAAATTCGTGTCAATCTTGTTTGTTACAAGTTTTATTCATTTAGAGAACTAGTGACAGCTGTTTCGTCCCAGTTTAGGCGTCCTCATCAGTACGCGCCATCATTCTTAAGCTAGGACGAAACAGCTGTCCAGCACTCCCAGGTTTTCCAATGGTTCTCTAACCGATATAAACTCATTATCAAACCAGTAACCAATCAAATCCCTACCAAACTATACTTGATAATTAGCCTTGTTTGTGTCAGAAAGTAAGATTAACAAATTCAAAATTTACAAATATTTAGCTAAATACGGTTTGATTAAAAAGGACCACTGACTAGGCATGTCTAATTTCGGCGGAAAGGGGTTGTGATGTCAGATCGGTAACTGCCATTAGGATTTTACGATAGTTTGCTTTTAATGCGATGAATTACGGTGAATGTTTATCGTCCATATCTTTTTTCACATCAGTCTACCGACCCTATAAACATCAGAACATCTACAACGTAAACGACAATATTTTAGTGTATATTACCAACTGAAATACCATTTCACTAATGTAAGGTAAAAACTACGCTAATCTACAATGGAGACTGTGGAGGGGAGTTAAAGAAGGACACTAAAAGACTAAAAATACACTACACATTGGGTTTCAAAATCCTCATATATATTTCAGGTAGAACAAAATTGCTTGTAAGTGGAAGTCAAAATCTTTCATAATACTCCCTTTTTTTATGACGACAGGATTCATAAAAATTATTTTTGTAAATAAGATTTAGGAAAAGACGCTTTAGTCGAAATGTTATATAGTATAAACGAAATAAACTTGTACTACATTTTTTAGACCAGATATACAGTATAGCTTAGTATTGAAAAAAAAGGTCGATGTTTAATTCGACTACACATACGAATCGATTGATAGAGTGTTTAAATCTCTAGTCTAGCATAGTATTTTATTTTCATGTCTGACTATTTATGTCTTTTAATCAGCCCACTAATTAATAAAAACAAAACATATTCAGGAAAAAACAAATAAAAAAAGGACCACCCAGTATACAAAGTTGTAAAATTTCGGGTATTCGTCGTAGGTTTAGTTTAAAGACAGAAAGGAATACAGTAATGCATGATATATAGCAGATTTTATTATCTTCTTCCCTCACCGTGGCAGCACTAGCTGTCCTTAGACACCTTAAGAATCTTTCATTATTATTATTTCTCCCTTGGGTTCCTAGTGGAACATAGGGCTTCAACTGCACCTCTCCACTTGCTTCTGTCTTCCTTCTGCTGTACTTTTCACCTCCATCCATCTTAGTTCATACTCTTTCAACTCCTCCCCTTCACACAATCTACTCCATGTCACCCTTGCACTGACGTCTCGCTCGCCGCTTCCCTTTCGGCCTGGTTCCACTCGAGCAATGGCCTGACGCGCGCGCGATGTCACCCAGCCGTC